CTCAGTTGCATTCTCTGCAGGGCTGGAGTGGTTAATCGTTTCCTACCTTTTCACCAGCTACGGCCCCTTCTGTTATCTATTCCCCCCCCGCCCCCCCCCACACACACACCGCTGCCGTGGAGGTCATGCTTTGAAAAATGTTGCCGACTGAGCAGACTGCATGTAAGTAATGATTAATTTGTTTCCCCATTTCTTGTTAACGGAAGATGTATGAAGCCGACTCAGATCTGCAGCTGATAGCGAGCAGTGCCACCCTGGGTTGATAGAATTCCAGGAAAAGCAGAGGCTCTTTATGGCTGAGTTACTCAATTGCAGCCTCACGTCAGGGAAATGTTCAGAGCCCGGTGCACCCAATGAATCATAACACACAGCTCGAGAACCCCCATTCCAGCCTTCATGCAGCCCCAGGCCCAGAACCACCGACAGACAGGCAATCACTAACTTTCTTTCCAGCTCTGGTAAGCCAAGAGTCTGGGGGTTGCCTGCTCCCCCTGGAATTGACCGCAGAGTTGTGAAATATGGACCTCTCCCCTCTCAACCTGACCTCAGCCCAAACCCCACTTTGTGCCCTTTACCCTGGGGGAGGGGAGCCCTGCCCAGCCCTGCTGGACAAATCCTGGAGGCCCAGGGCTGTCTCCTATTGCTCCATGAGGCTACTTGGAACCTGCTGATGGCACTTGAATTCCTGGAGCACTGTAATCATTGCAACTCCAGGCAGTCCCCACCATCCTGGGAGAGGAGGCCAGTGTTCCCTCTTTGCGCCCCTATGAGCTCTCTACTTTCCAGCCCCCACCCCATTTCTGTCTATGACCCAAGGATGGGATGAAGTCTGCTTGAGGACAGGAATTGTGCTTGCTGCTGGGGGCAGGGAGGGAGGGGATGGATTTGGTCAAAGAGAACTTCTTGGCAAAGGGGACTCGAGCATGGACATGGGCGCGTAGGCAGAGCTCTATGGAACGAGGTGTTGGGGCAGGGGCGTTGCATCTGGGACAGTCTCAGTGGTATTCTGGGCAGTGCGAGCATGTGCGGGGCGTCCATTCTAGAGGGATGAAGTGACTGGAAATTCTCTGGGATGATGAGTTGGGGAGGGGAGAGGGGTGCAACTAGTGGGAGATGGGGGAAGTGTGCAATGACTTGAGTCTGCTGAGAACCTGGAACTCGATATAGACATCCAGAAGCCTTGGTTGGACATGTGAACATGCCTGGGGATGGTCAGTGTAGATGACCCATTTCCACTGTCTTTAAGGTCAGCTTCTGGGCTTTTGTACAGTGAGGTACAGTGGAAATTGAGAGGTGTGGCCTGAGGTGTCACTTTGTGGTAAAGAAGTGCTTGTCTGCTAAGAGAAGTGATTTCTGGGACAGCGTAATAGATGAGACAGATGGTCTGGTTACAGGAAACCCCATCCGAGCATGGGCTATGGCTGGCGCAGCTCTAGAAAATAAGGGTGAAGAGTTGTGATCCATGCCCTCAGGGAGCTGACGTTGTGGTAGAGAAGACAGACCATGGACAATGGTAAAGACATAGAACCTGAGAAAGGCTACAATGAGGGGGTGAGGAAGTGTCTAAAGCGAGTTGTGTCTGAATTGCATTTTGACATTTTAAGAGTTTTCCAAGGGATAAAGTGGGCACATATTCCAGAGGCTTAAAGATCCTGTTAGAATCTGATGAAAGCTATGGGCTCTCTCAGAAACACACACACACACACACACACACACACACACACACACGCCTCAAGGACAAGGACCCCAGCCAGGGCACAGCCTGCCCATGGGTAGTGGTTGCAAAAGTGTGCCTCTGGTGCCATGGCTAGGCCGCTGGTGGGAGAGGGAGGTGGGCTTCAGCAGGAGCGACTTCCCTGAGACGGAGCTGTGCTGAGGGTGTGGCTGAGGTGGCTGTGGGGTGAGGGACCAGGCAAGGAAGGCGATGGTGGTGAACACTGAGATGGTAGCTAGTGGAGGTTTGGATCGTGAAGGCGGGGGTGGCAGTGGTGGTCCTGGCGAAGGCAGTGCAGTGGGGAGGTCAAGTGCATTGGTTTCAGATGTTTGAGCACCAGGGGTGGTTGTCATCACCTCAGAGATGACCTGGAACTCAGCCTTCAACAGTGGCTTCTGCGGGCTGGGGCTGGGGAGGGTCAGCATTCCCCAGGGAGCTTTCTCAAAGTGAAGGAGTCACCCCCTCCCCATCCTCACCCTTGCCTAACTCAGACAATATGGCCTCCGGGAAGGTGGGCAACTGCATTATGAAAAGCCTTCCAGGTAATTCTGATCGGTCCCAGCACTTTGTCTTTCTCTCCCAGAACAACTGCCCAGAAAGGTCATTGAAAAGGAACAAGACACTATTCCTCTGAACTAATTAGACCACCAGCGGCTCAACCCCGCCCGATTCAACCAACAGCCCATTCATTCAACACACTTTAGTGAGTGTCAACAATGGGCCTGGGCCGGGGCCAGGTGCTGGAGGCCCCAAAGCCAGCTCTACACCATCCGTGCAGGGGAGGCAGCCGGAGGGGACATGGCCATGCTGTGTCAGCTCTGGGACAAGGACAGTCCTAGTGCTCTAGGGACACCCAGGAAGGGCAATCTTGGGTCACGAGGGAAGGCTTCCCGAAGGAAGAGTAGATCAGGGCCAGGAGCCAGCCGGGAGGGTGGAGAAGCCCTTTCAGGGAGAAGAAGCCACCTGTGCACAGCCTGGCGGCATGAGAGAACAGACAGGGAAGTGCAAGTAATCCCGAGCGTGGCCTGTGTAGAAAGAGGTGGCTGGAGAGACCAGGGGGGTCAGGGGTTCATCCTGTGGGCGGGAGAGGGAGGGTTGGGAAAATGGGGGGGGGCGGTGTCTGAGTCTGAGGAGTTGTCCGCTGAGATGTGGTTACTCTGGGGACCAGGCAGGTCTGGAGAGAGGGGTCCCTGGAGTCAGCTTGTGCATCAGTCGGCTGCTCTGGGGATCTCAGCAGAAGACACTGAAGCCTGAATGAAGAGTGTGTCCATGGGACCGGATTCCTCAGAACCGCACCCCAGTTTGCTGACCCCTCCTGAGAGGCCGCAGAGGGAATTGTTTGGGAAACCTTGTGCAGCCTTCCCCATCTGAGCTGTGAGTTTGTGTGGCCATCCAGCTCTTCCCTGCTTTTTGCCCTCTGCTTCCTGTTCCCTCTTTCCCTCCCCAGTCTTCCCAGTGCCCTTTGACAAGCTTTCCTATTTCTTCAGCGTCGCTGCTAACCCCCATCCCTCCCTCCTCACTGCCCTGGAAGCCCATCTCTCCTCCGGGGTGGTGATGGCCCACGTCTGCTCTGTTCATTAACGTTCTCAATTCCAAAGGCCTTCCATCTCCATTTTAGTCTCCCTCCCATGGCCACACCCGGGAGCTTGTCTTTCCTAAAACATCTGATCTTCTTAAAGCTTGAATGAAACATTCTACTCAATGGACACATCCCTCTGTGCTTCTGATTCTGACTCCCTGGTTCCCACCTGCCGGTCCCAGAGTCTCACTCACCCAGACCTCCAGCCCTCTTTTCCCCACACCTCCAGGTCCTCTGGCTGCACAGCCTCCCCTGCCTGCCACCCCCGCCCAGTTTCCCCTTGTACCCACCCAGCACCCCTAATGGAGCCGACGCCATCCTGGTTTCCACCCCGGCTGCTGCACCCACCCGTAGAGAGCAGCAGCCACTGGATACCCTGGCCTCTTCCCTCAGCAGGCTCTTCCCTGCTCCGGCTGGCCCCCTCTCTGTGCTTCACTGCAGCTCTTTCAAACCCTCTCCAGTGCCCTCAGCCCCCAGCTCTCCAGTCTCTCTGGAAAGCTGATCTTGCTCCTTATTCACCAAGAAAACAGGAGCCATAAGATGGAAATTCCCTCAGGTTCCTGCCACCCACCTTCACATTTTCATATCACCCATATCCCACCTGTCTTCCTTCTCACCACGGCTCGCTCTCCTCCTGACTGGGACCAGCCTGGGGTCTGGACCCCAGCTCCTCCCTCTTCCTTGGACATGGAGCACCATCTGTCCCCGCCCCCATGCCCCTGTTCCCAACACATTCTTCCCCAGAACCTCCCATAACCATTGAAACCCCCCTGTCCTCACCTCCCATCCACTGCTTCTGGCTTCTGCAACTCCCCAGAACCTGCTCTTACCCAGCCAGAAGCACCTCAACATCAGAACCTCAGAGCTCATCTCAGTATTCCTGCCCCAACCTGCTCCTCCTCCAGTGCACCCCATCTCAGTAAAGGGCCGCAGGGCCCAACTACACACCAGTCATTCTGCATTTCCCCCTTCCTCGATTTTCCACATCCTACCCTCCACCACTCACCAAGGCTTCTCTGTAATATCCCTGGAATCCATTATCATGCTTCTTAGGTGCCAGGCACTTACCTTGCGCATTCTTGGCATGTTATTCTTTCAGGTATGTGTTCAACAAGCATTCCTTAGAAAGGCCATCCTGGGCAGCACTGACTTGACTCACGTTCACAATTCCAACTCAGGCCGTTGCCCCACTTGGCACTCGAGTTCTCTCATCCTAATACCAACAACTGACCTGAACGTCTCCCTACTGTCCAACTCGGTCTCACCACCTACACTGCCTGGGAATTTGGCTGTTCCTCCTCAGGGCCCTGTTGGCTTCATGCGGACCTGTTAGTGGCCATTATCATGAGGAGTCGTGGCAGTTATGAAGATTCGATGGCAGCAGCGGCAGTGACAGGGAAACCATGTGGGATGGGGCTGGGGGAGGTAGTGAATCTATTAGAATTCCCTTAGGAATTATTAATTTATGTACACGTTAAATATTTATTGGGTGCCTTTGTCAGGCACTGAGGTAGACTCTAGGGGTACATCAGGGATGAAAAAATATACAGGCTCCCCTTTCTTTCCAGGAGCTTATAATTTAGAAGGGGATTCAGTCATCATATACATGTTGTAATGATAACCAAGACACGTACTCCACTGGAATGGCACATGGTACTTGAGCATGTTAAAGGGAGGCTTGGTCCTCTCTGAGAAAGTGATGGTTAAGCTGAGATCCAAACACTAATGATGTTTTAAGTGAGCAAAGAGAGGAGAGACAAGCATCCCAGGTAGAAGGACCAGCATGTGCAAAGGCCCTGGGGGAAGCAAGAGAAATACATGAGACAGGAAGTCCAGTGTGGATAGGACCGCACAACAAGCGCTTTTAAAAAATTTTAAAGGAAGATAACACAAAATTCACCTATTCACCCATCTCAAAGCACATTAACTCTGGGGCGTTTAGTAAAATCACAATGTTGTGCAACCACTACCACTATCTAGTTCCAGAACATTTCATCACCCTGAAAGGAAGCCTGTGCCCATTAAGCAGTCACTCCCCATTCCTCTCTTTCCCCAACCCTTGGCAGCCACTCCTCTACTTTCTGTCTCGATGGATTTGCCCATGCTGGACATTTCATACAAAGAAAATCACACAACTTGTGGCCTTTTGTGACTGAGTCGTCTCACTCAGCATGTTTCCGAGGTGTATCGATGTGACAGCATGTATCAGTACTTCATTCCTTTTTAAGGCTGAATCATATTCCATTGTATGGACATACTGCATTGTGTTTATCCATTCATCAGTTGATGGACACTTGGGTTGTCTCCACCTTTTGTCTATTGTGAATAGTGCTGCTGTGAACATGTGTGTACAAGCTTTTGTTTGAACACCTGATTTCAACTCTCTGGATACATACCTAGGAGTAGAATTGCAGGGTCGCGTAGCTCTGTGTTTAACCTTCTGAGGAACAGCACACACTTTCTGTTGCATTCGTGTGACGTAACTTCAAGCTGCGGTGGTAAGATAGGGGTAAAGATGACAACTGCGAGGAAACACTACTTTCTAAAATTTACCATTCCTTTTCATTCAGGTTATTTCAAGTGGAGGAGACCAGGCTGAGAAGGGTCATTTAATAAACGTCCCCACTGACTCAATACACTGCCCACACCGTCAGCCCGCCAGGCCAGGGAATCTTTGTCCGTTTTGTTCCCTGATGTAGCTAAAGGCCTAGAGCAGTACTTGGCACACAGCTGGTGCTCAATAACTATTTGTCGCATGAATAGAAAAATACAATGAACTATTTCAAGGGCCCTAAGAATCCCAAGAAAACAGACATCCAGCAGGTGGAACCAGAGAGAACGTGCCGCCATTGCAGCCAGAATGGGGGCGGTTAGAGAAGCAAGGATTTCCCAGAGCCACGGGCCCTCAGCCCTCGGGGAAGCCGGGACTCACATTTCTGAACACTTGCCACGGGCAGGTCCTCTTACATCTGTTCACCCGGAAGCTTGGAGAGCCCGCGTGGCTTTGGATTCCACAGCCGGGAAGCCTACGAGGTGGCATCAAGGTCTGCCCAACCCTCTGGACATGCAGGCCTTGCTCCCTTGGTGGGCACAGCAGTCCCTCCACACTGAGGCCTGGGGTGAAGTCCGCCCGAGGGATTCCCAGGGGCCCTCGAAGCGCCGTGGAGAGTACTGTGCTCTCCCTTCCCCCAGCAGAGGCCGGAGGGAGGAGGGACAGATGGCAGCAGAGCGTGCAAATTGGAGGCTGATATTGAATTGCAGCAAAATGAGCAGAGGATCAGGTGCCCCACCTGGACCCACCCCAGAGAATACCACGGCCTGGGCCGGCTCTCACGAGGAGCCGGCAGGCCCGGGCCCAGGCGGAATCACGGTTGAGTGAGCAGGGGTCAGGAGGCAGGTGGCGGGGCGCTCAGGCAGGAAGACTCCATTGGTTTGACTGAGGCCTTCGCCTCCTGGGCCCTCCATCCCTGGCCTGGGCATTCACATGCCACAGAGCTCCTCCTGGGTTCTGGGGGCAGAGCTGGCTGGACTGCTGGGATCAGAGCCAGGCTGAGACACTGTCCCAGGCCCTGTTTTCAAGGAGGTGATGGGGGGGGGGATGGGAACACACCTAAACACCCAGGATTCTGAGTAAAGTCAGGGAAGGCTTCCTGGAAGAGGGTGAAGGCTGTGGGGCTCGGTTGGGATCCAGGAAGATCTGGGTGTGAATTATGGCTTAGGCACTTCTTAGCTGTTGATCCTCGGGCAAACAGTTCATTCTATAAACTTCTGTTTGAGCACCTACTCCATGCCAAACCCGTGTTACGTTTTGGGACTACAATGCAGTTGCTGTCCTCAGAGCTTAAACAAATCCCCAGGACAGCATGGTCCGTGCTATTACGGAGGCGAGGCAGGTGCTGTGGCACAGGGGGCAGAGGAGGCGGCCAGCTTCATGTGCTTTAGCCTCCTCACCCTACTCCATAGAATGGGGTTGTTTTGTACCCACTGCACCACGGAGTTGAAATGACTGGTGGAGAAAGGAGCAGGAGCCTAGCTCGGTGCCTCACACACAGCACGGGCAGGAAGAAGCCTGAGGCTGACAGGGGCAGAGGCCTGGGAGGGATGGGGGCGGCCTCCAGGGTGGGAGGAAGGTGAGTGTGAGGCATGGGGGTGGGGGAAGGGACCCTACACAGAGACTGAAAGGGGTCCTGCAGGCCCCCCTGTTGCTAGAGCCCACAGATGCTGGAGGCAGGGGCTGGGGAGCTGGGGCGGTTCAGCTGCAACTGTTCTAAGTGGGGAGTCAAACAGGTTTAGGTGACCTTTGCGAGCAAGGTGGTGGGGCGCTGCCCACAACCCTTGCAGCTCGTTGCCACCCCTTTTCTGGGGTGACCCTGGATTGGCCTGGCCCTGGTGTTCGCAGCTCCTCTCTGTCCCTATAGGGTGGAGTCCCCAGCGCTCCTGGGCCAGCAGGCAAACGCTTTCCTCTCTGCCTCCAGCCCTGCTTCCAGGGTGGGTGGAAGCCAAGGGGGCCACCAAGTCACCCTCAGCTCTTCGGGGCCTCCAGTCTGGTCATCCTCCCCCAGGTGTGACGGGGAGGAAGCCAGGGACTGGAAGGCGCCCAGTTAAGGGAGGAGCAGTCTGCCCTCCTGACCTCTTCCTGCCAGCTGGTCTCCTCTCCTGCTAGATTCCGCTGTGGCTCCCAGTTGCCCTGTGTGAGGCGGCTTTACTGACCTGCAGCCGGGGCCTCTCCCCGTGCAGAGCTATGTGTCAGCTTGTCCCATTAGTCAGCTGTCCAACCCACCCCTTGTGCTCAGGCTCTTGCCACAGCTTCCCCGGTGCTTGCCTTCGTGGACTCCTCCAAGCAGCTGGGAGCTGTGTTCACAAGGCAGGGTTACTGGAAAGGTGTCCCTGCCCCCACCCCTTACGCACACCCAATCCTTTCCAAATGGAGGCAAACTTGTCCCTGACCCCTCCTCACCCACCAGTGCACAAATACACACTCCCTCTCTCTGCCCAAGCTCCGAAAAACAACTTCTCTCCCGATCAGGTCCCTGAGGAATGAGGCCATGGGGCTGCAACCTGGAGCTTGCAGGGCGGGGTGCAGGTAGGCTTGGGGGGACAAGAGCTGGTGGTTTTGTTCATTTATTCACTTGACAAACATTTATCGAGCACCTTGATGTGCCAGACCCTGTGCGAGGCACGGGGGTGGAGGTGCAATAGTGAGCAAACCCAGAAATGGTCCTGCCCTCTGTTCACAGCCCCGAGGAGGAACGAGACACCGAGGAGGTAATTACCAGCCTCTGAGTGAAACAAAAGGTCAAGGCACCCGCTGGTGGTGCTGCTGGGAGGGTGCGATATCGAGGCTGCAGGAAGCCCTCTCCAGTAAGAAAACAACTTTAGACAACTGTTTAGTGTCTTAGTCCTCTAGGAGCAATAAGGAGAAAAGGCCATTTTTCAGCCAGGATTGAAAGCGGTGTTTTTCAAACTGTGAGCGGCCACCCATTCGTGAGTCATGAAATTGATTTAATAGTTGTGACCTGAATAACTTTTTTAGTGAAGCAGAATAGAGGAACTTAAAACATCACATTTAGGAAATACCGATTTGTGACATGTTAGTTTTAGTTGTATCTTGATCTCCATCTTCCTATCCAGATAATGTTATGAATTCGGATATTAGATGCATTTCCTCTTGCAGGTCTTGATCAAAAAGGTTTGATAGTCACTGGCCTGGAGTTGGAGGAAGAATTAGTCATGAGAAAATGATGGTGACACATATACCAGGCTGAGAAAACAACACATATCAGAGCCCAGAGGTGAAGGGGCGGAAGGAGGACACGCCAAGCCCGAGGCCTGCGCTGACCTGTGGGCAGTCCGGAGCCGCGGGAGGCTAGGTGAGCTCCCATCCTCTTCAGCCCCGGGCCCCACCGACTGGGCCCCACCCCCTGGGTAGGAGGCGGCGGCACGAAGCTGTCTTTGTGTCTCTCCAGGAGCCTGGACCTTCACCTGGGCCTCCACGGTCACAAATGCCTGTCCTTGAGCTGGCGTTTAGGGGACGAAGTCAGCCAGTCCCTGGAGGTTCGTGGAGGGGGGGGGGGGGGGGAAGCCTGAATTTCTGGAGCAGACAGACCTGTATTCATAGCTTATATTCATCCTAACCAGCCCTGTGGTCTTGGGAAATCTTTATAACCTCTCTGTGCCTCAGTTTCCTCCTGTGTGAAATGGAGCTAAAACAACGCATCCCCGAAAGTCCTTGTGAGGATTTAGTTTGAGACCCAGATGTCCCCAGGCCTTCAGTCCTCTGGGTTCCTCCTTGGCTTCCACATGGAATAGGGTTGCCAGATTTAGCAAATAAAAATGCAGGGCACCCAGTTCAATTTCAAATAACAAATAATTTTTCAGTATATGTATGTCCCACATAGGGCTTGGAATCACTTATGCTAAACATTTTATTATTTATCTGAAATTCCAATTACCTGGGTGTTGTAAATGTTTCCCTCCACGTCCCGCGTGGTTCAGGGTTCAGGATCTGGAAGAGGAGCTGCACACAAATGAAAGAGAAAAGAGATAATTTGGGAATATTGGGGGGCCAGGCGGGTAAGTCCAACTCAAGAGGAAGGACTTCCACCAGTGCTCAAGCCGCACCAACCATTTTATAGTCAGAGGTAAACAAGGTAGTGGTGACCATAGTTACACTGTTCTTGTGAGTTTCACTTGTTTTGACCATAGTTATACTTCCTGCACTTCCCTCAGCCCATTAGCTTCCCAGATAAGATCTAGGGAGTGTTATAAGGTCAAGCCTAATTATGCTAAGAGGACTGTGCCCTCTAAGCTGGGACTTGTTTGTGACTTTGCCAACAGGTCAGTCCAAGGCTTAATCCTATATCGGCTCCGCACACCTGGGCACCCTATATTTTATCTGGCCACCGGACAAGACATCCAAGGGCTTGCGCTGTGTCCCAGAACTGCATGGATCCGACACCCCGCAACATTCTCAGGCTTCCTGAGGGGCCCGAGCCCCAGCCTCCCACCCTTCCCGCCAGCTGCTGCCTGGGCCTGCTCTCTCCACAACGTCCCACTTCACCAGACTGTGGACGGCCCTGTCCCTTCCCCCTCATTCCCCAGTGGTGCAGCCGCCAGGCTGTGATGGGTGACCCACTTTTTCTGACCTTGTGGGGAGAATGGAAGGCATTTGCAGCTCAGCTCAGAGCAGGAAACACACCTTACACCAGCGGTCAGACGGCATGGGCCCTGAATTCCGTCACTGTGCTCCCACGTGCAGCATCCTCACTGGCACAGCTCCCCACAGACACCCTCTTTCTGCCCCCACTTTTCCAGGGGCTCAGCCCCCTCCTTCAAGTCACCAGCAAACATCACCCAAATCCGTGTGTGTGTGTGTGTGTGTGTGTGTGTGTGTCAGAGAGAGAGAGAGAGAGAGTCCTTTAGCATTCTTTCTCACTTCTTTTTTGTAAAATATATTTTTATTGATTTCAGAGAGGAAGGGAGAGGGAGAGAGATAGAAACATCAATGATGAGAAGAATCACCGACCGGCCACCTCCCGCACGCCCCCCACTGGGGATCCAGCCCGCAACCCTGGACATGTCCCCTGACCAGAATCAAACCTGGGACCACTCCCCCCCCCCCGTCCGAAGGCTGGCTCTCTAACCACTGAGCCAAACCAGCCAGGGCTCTTTCTCACTTCTTTTCCATCTTGATTATTTCTGAAGGTGGTGATTCACTTTCACAATTGAAAAGTCCTCCTGAAGCCAGACTTCTGGGGTTCTAATTCTGCCTCCCCACTTACAGCTGTGTGGCCTCCGGAAAGTTACTGAACCCCTCTCTGCCTCATTTTCCTCCTTTCTAAAAAGTGGGATGCTTAGCTCATAGGACTGCTGTGCAGATGAAGAGAGTTAATACATGCAGAATGTCGAGAGCAGTGCATGACCCAGTGAGCTCTAAGTGCGTGCTGACATAACTGCTGCGTTTCATCCACTCTAAGGCGGACTCTTTTTTCTCATGTTAACGTCTCTTTCAATAGTGTTGTCTCGGAGCTGCTGGGAGTGGCTGTCACTACCTGTACTTAAACTTGGTCAGGTAAGTTCCCCGCCTCTCCTGCCTACATCCGTTCAACTTAATTGCTATTTAAATGTCTTCAAGGAGGCTACACTGTGGTTTCGCAGTTAAACACCGAGTTATTGTGTATACACAAAGACAGGAAAACAGGAGCGCAGAAAGAATGTAATATTAGTGAAGCAAATAGTTACCACTGAAGAGCAGTTCTGTATTTCCTTGCAAAACAACAGCCAAGTGTTTGATGAAACCTAAGAAAGGAACAGCCTCACAAGTAGATGAAGCTGTGGTATGTTTTATTACTGAGAAAAGGACACCATGATTGCCAGTCACATGTGAAGCAAGAAAACACATGGGGTAAAGTTTACAGAAGGAGTATCCGAGGCTTGGGAAGGAATTCCGGGAACAGCAGTGGACAGTCGCGTGGAAATGGTGCCTAACTGCACTCCTGGCGCACAGAGGACACTGTGCAGAAAAGCACTCGGGATCTGAGACCAAGCAGGGCTTAGGAAATGTGGACGCTGAATGTGAAGAAAATCTTCTAGGACGACAGTTGACCATTGAATAACACGAGGATTAGGGGTGCCAACCCCCTGTGCAGTCTAAATCCACATATAACTTTTTGCTCCCCTGAAACTTAACTACAAATAGCCTACTATTAACTGCAAATAGCCTTACTAATAACATAAAGTCCGTTAACACATATTTGTATGTTATATGTATTATATGCTATATTCTTACAATAAAGCAAATTAGAGAAAAGAGAAAATGTTATTAAGAAAATCATACGGAAGAGAAAATACATTTACAGCATTTTTTTGGAAAAATATCCACATGTAAGTGGACCCGTGCAGTTCAAACCCTGTTGTTCAAGGCTCAATTGAATTTCAGCCAATTTCTTTTGCCTATAATTTCCTCTTTTATGCATGCGCAAGAGAGATTTTGACTTAAAAACTGAGGTATCAATAAATAAAAAAGATTTCTTCCAATAAATACACAAAATAAAAATTGGTTTTAAAAAAGCATTTTCAGGTCACGTTCCTTTATTCGCTTCCTAAAACTATTTTTAATTGCCACGAAGTACCATCCTCCCCATTTTTAAGTGAACGGTTCGATGGTATTAAGTACAGCCACACTGTTGTGCAACCATTACCACCACCCATCTCCAAAAAAGCCTTTTTCTCATTTCAGTTAGCCGTGCATCATACAACTGATGGCACCATGGGCATCATAAAGACACCACATAGAGGTCCCTGGAGACAAAATGTCGCCCTCCCCTTAGGGGTGCCCCACGGCCTGCCAGGAAGCAGGGTTCTGACCCGTGGCTTGATGGGAACACCTTCTGTCTCCCTGACCCAAAGGCCCCGGGCATGATTGGCACCCGCCCCTCCTCCCAGCCTCGGGCCCAGGCACTGACGAGGCCAAGTCAAAATCTGCCCCTCCCTCTGAATCTCTTCCTCCAGCATTAGGAATGCCTGGGGTTGGGAAGGGATGGCTGAGAGCAGAGAACCAGGGTGCCGAGTAAGAGCTGTGCCCTGGAGAAGGAGAGGGGGGCCAGCAGGTCAAGGGAGGGGGGAGCTTTACCTGGAGATATTGGACAACTACTGGGTGCTGGACTCAGAGCGGGCAGGTGGAGGTGGGGAGTATGGAGTTCGCGTCCACCCCAGTCCTCAGCCCACCTGGATTCATCTCAGCCTCTCCCAGCAGGAGGCAGGGGTGGAGGGGGGTTATCTTCACTTAGGACACAGTTGAGCATCTGCCTGTGTGTCAGGCACCATTCTAGGCACTGGAAATACACCAGAGGACAAGCCCCATGAGAATTCCTGATTTGAGGCGGGGGGGGGGGGGGGGTCGGTCATGTTCTCCTTTCTTCCTTCCCCTCCTCCTTCTCTTCCTCCGCCTCCTCACTAGCAGGATTCACTAGTCCCTCTATATATTAGGATGGTGCATTCTCAATTGCAAAATATTTCCCATTCATTATCTTGCTCCATCCTCAAAACAACTGTGGTGTGGGCAGCATTGCTCCCTTTTTCTGAACAAGGAAACTGAGGCCCAGAGTGTGACTGGCAGTGAGGGATGTGGTAGAATGCTCTCCGGGCTAGGCTCCAGTCCCAGCTCAGCCACTAGCTTGCTGGGCCACCTCAGATGAGCCACTCACCCTCCCTGGACCTCAATGACCCCCTGTGATACAATACAAGGGGTCCTACTCTACAGTCTCCATCGGCCCAGATTTCCATTCCTGGGACTGGGACTGCATGGGAACCTGCTGGTCAGGAGGTAGAGCAGGGCCTGACCACACTCTGAGCCTGACCCTGCCTTTCCATCCCCAGGAAAGGAGCAGGGCTGGAGGGATTGGGAACAGTGGGGTGTCATATGGGGGGGGGGGCGTATTCCAGACCCAAATGCCTCCTAGACCCTGGGCTGGAGCAACACTGATGGCAGGAAGTGGCATTGCCCGGTGCTGGGCTGCGTGGGCACCCAGGCTGGAGAGCCGCCTATCGAACACTGTGGCCTCCATCAGCCTGCACAGCTCACTGCCTCTCAGTAATGTCCTCCCCAGAGCCCTGTGTGGCTCTGAGCTCCAGGGGGGACCCAGATTCTGTCCCAGCTTCTGGAACCCTAACATGTGAGTTTGGGGAGACTTATTCTCCTCAGAGTATAAATAATACTATCAATAATAGCTGGTATTAATTGATGGCTTACTGTGGGCCAGGCACTGCTTTGAGCACCGTCTGTACATTATTTTATTTAATCCAAACCCCAATCCGATAAGGTCATTATTGTCCCCTTTTTACAGAGCTGGATGAGAAGGGGTTCACAAAGAGGGACGAGGGGGTGCTGGAATGGAAGCCCGCAGCTGCCTGTCAACCCTAGGTTCACTCCATCACCCAGGGCCAGGGTCCCACTGCCACTGGTACCGCCCCCTGCTCTAGGCCGTGGGAGCTGCTACTTGGCTGGGGTTCCAGGGAGGGGGTGACACTTAATGACTTATGGGTGATTGGCTGCAAGAAAGCAAGCACAGAAGAGGCACAAAACCTCTGTGCCCCGGAAGGTCTGCGTCACAGGCCAACCAGTTGTTTTCCATCCCCTTAAAGAAGAAATAACTGGAGGTCAGACGGCAGGAAGAACTCCCCAGTCACTAGAAGGGGTAGCACTGACATCCTCACCCCTGGTCAGTTGTGGGTGAAGCATTGCCCCTGCCTTGGCCAACAGTTTGAGTCAGAGAGAGGGGTTTTGGCAAATCTGCAGAATCCCCATTCACCGAGCCTACGGGGCCCCGGGGAGGCCCTGGGGCAACAGCCCTGGGGTTAACCGAGGGGACAAACACGGAAAACCAGGGGACGTCAGTCCTTATCTGGAGCTCATTAATGGGGAACATTAGTCAGCTGTGAAGGCCAAGATGGGGTGATAGGCATGTGGTGGGCAGGGGTGGGGAGTGGGCAGGGGGAAGCCATAGGGTGAAGAAGTATTAATCTAAACTCCACCTCTGCCCCACGTGGTCCAATGCTGGAT